CTTCCTCCATCCCCATCATTGAACCTCCATCACTTTTTTTAATGCTCAATTGATTTATTAGAACTTCAAATATTTTTTGTCTAACATTTTCTAGCACACTCAAACATGGTCCATTATTATTTTTAGTGCCTGCCAAATGATGTTTAAAACAAAATATACCTCTAGTAACTTCTTTTGAACAATACTTGTATTTAATTTTTTTAGAAGTACCATCTATGTCAAAACCATGTTTCCAACCAATATCACTTTTATTTCTAGAAGCTTTCTTTTTTTTTTTTTTTTGCACATTTTTTTAAGAGAGATATCACCATTACCCAAAACCATTAAAGCCTACAAGTCAAATAAAAAAATAATATAAATATAAATAATTGTTAATAATAATAATTATTATTAACATGAAAACAAAAGCACATTAAAAAAATCAAAAAAGTTAAAAGAAAAATAAATTATATAATATTATTATATAAATAGTAATTTTATGGTTTTATATTGAACAATTTTAGTAATACTAATTTACAATCATATAAATCTACAATATTTAAATAAAAACAATAACTATATTATACAAATATAATATAAATATGTTTTTATGATACATAAATAATAAAATATATTTCCATATAAACAATAAACACAACAATTAGAAAGATTAAACTGCAATTAAAATTAAATAAATCAAAGACACTAGACAAAAGAAGGTACAATTGGAGTTTTGGTTTTCAACGTAAGAGACGACTCAGCGAGTCACAATAGTAGCAGCAACGTACGCTCACAGGCACGAGCGACAAGTGCCAACACCAATGGCAACACAGGCACACGAGCACAGGTAGAGCACTAGCAATAATGCAAACAGCACCAATGGCAATACAACATCAACAGCAACACAAAACCAGTGACAACGATGAAGTTTTGGAGATGAAGATGAAGAGGTTAGTAGACCTTTTAGTTTCTAATTTTGAAGATTTATATGTAAAATTAGAGATTTTTTTAAATTTTATTGATTAAAAATTCTTAATTACCATTTACAATCCTAAAAGAATTTGGTTTCTTAAATTGTTTAAGATCACACAATCTTGTTCATGATTTTCGATTTCCTTTTCAACAACCCCCAATTCTTGTATGATTAGATTGTTGACGCCATTTAACATTGTAAGATCGCATTATCTTACGATTAAGCACTTTAATTAATTCCACCAAGTAAAGATTATTCACTTAACTTATGCTTACTAGACTATGAGCTCATGTAATTTATTCTACCATTTCAAATAGTAACAATGAGGAGTAGCTACTGTTTCTTAAGATTTTTGGTGAATGTCCCATGATAACAACGAGTAGTGCATCTAAATGGTAAGTAAGATAAGTCTTTATCTACCTAAAACTATTGTTGGTTCTGTAATTTTCAATCTATTTTGTATTATTTTTGAACTTGGGAATGGTATATAAAATGAGCCTTTTGATTCTATAAATATTTTTTTTTTCTATCTTGTGCATAACATTTCCCTACTTGATAAATCTAAAGGTTTATCAA